ATCTTTTTGTGTATATATATTTGTCCGAACCTATTTTACAGTTTACATCTAAAAAGAAACAGGTATACTTCATAATAAAGAAACAAAATTTCGCATTTTTATTAAGTTTAGTAATTAACGGCCTAGTGGCGAAATGAAAAAAGGCCCACAATGTAATTTGATATCAATGTTCTATCAAAGTTATATTTTAATGATGCTTAAAAATGACGGAGTCCATAACTTAAAAAAATGATAAAAGACCTTGTTATAACTTTATTTTCTAGAATTTTAGATAACTTTTAATACATTAGAATATAAGAAAAATAAACTTACAAAAAATCAGGGTAAAATACAATGTAAGGCACATTAAATATATATTATATTCTGACCTACAAATGATAGTATTTTTAGAAAATTTCAAATGAAAAAGGGATCTACACGAAATTAGGACAGATCGCTAGTTTAACATATAAATATTATAAAAAAAACATAATGTAAGTAATTTCGCTATTTCCGACTTACCTCTGTAAAAATAATGCTTACGTGTCCAAGTTATATAGAGAAGTTATATTGGTAGTATTAGGTCAAGCTTTAGGCTGATTACAAACGTCAAATAATGACATGGTATAAACACGTATTAAATAAGTCGGTTTGTCTGTTTCATTGTTATTTATATATATAATTAAAATAGTAATTAAATACATATTAAAATTTTAGATTATATTTTTTGTTGTTTTGTGCTGTATATTACTACAGTACTGTAATATTAAATAAAAATTTTAAAAACTTTCATTTTGTTTTTCAGTTTGATAAAAAAAGTTAAATATATATGTACATAGGATTCGGTTATGCATAAAAGGTAACAATAGAGCAAACTAGCTATTTATTACATGAAAAATCACAATACACACCAGTCAGGTACTATAATATCAACCATATATTAAATTATTACTCTTACAACAATCTTAAATCTTATTATCACATCTTATATCATTTTATACTTTAATCAAAATCGTTTCACGCATTTTTATTTATTATACATTTAATATCTCATAACTGAACTTATAATTAAAACTTAATTATTTACGGATTTTTGTATTATTTACCTATTGAAACATTTATTTTATGTATATTGTTTTCGTTATGTTTGTTTGTTTTATAGGGTGTACAATAAAGAGTATTATCTATCTATTTATACTAATATTAACTAAGCTGAAACGTTTGTTTATTTGAACCTACTTATCTCTGATTTTTTTTTGTATTTTATAGCCTACTAGCGTCTCACCCTCGCATTATCCCGGTTCATCGCATTTATCCCTAGCTCACTTCCGAATACCAACTTTCATCTTTTTCACCCCCGAAATGGATAAAAAGTATCCTATATCCTTCCCAGGGTCTCAAACTATGTTCTTACTAAATTTCATCTAAATCGGTTCAGTAGATCCAGAGATTATCCTATACAACGTCACAAACTGCCTCTTTATAATATTAGTACAGATTTATCGAGGAAGATTACGAATATATGTAAGCATAGCTTAAAAGAAGTGCAGTAATATTATAACATCACAATATGATAAGAATACACAAGTGATATCGTAAAACTTATATATAAAAATTATTTATAAATAAAATATCTCTCTTCTGCCACAAACGCTAGTTTATCTTAAGACTGTAGTCCGCCTAAGTAAGACAAGACGTATGGTCATTAGCGCCTAATCGCTGATAACCAACTGTTTTTATGAGTCGGTTCTTATATCTTAGTAATGATCCAGTAATAGGTAGCTTCGAGCGAGTACAACTTGACCGACTTTAAAAAAGAGTGTTCGAGTGTATTTTTTGTGTATATATATGTTAGACGATATCAAAAAATATGAACCATTTTTCATCATCCTGATTTTAGTTATAATTATAATTTAAATTATAAAATCCTTCCTAATGATAGAATAATACTTTTAAATACATTACAATTGCTTTGATGCAATCATTTTGTTTAAATTAAATCATCAATAAAACATGTAATAAAATTTATTTAAAAAATTATAGTTACCAAATTGTACTATTAGGAAATGCAGAGCGGTTTAATTCCCATATGAAATATTTTTTTTTTAATTATGCTTGTATAGATATAAATTTTATTGTATTGTATATATTATAAAACTAGAAAACTAAAGATGAATATGTATGTATTCAGTTCTTAAGAACGTCCCACAGCTGAAAGTGCGAGTCGAGAAATGTCTTTCGGAAACTTGCTAAGCTCTCTCAGACTATACAGGTTTCCTACGATATTTTCCTTCACTGTAAAACACATGAAAATATCAGATTTGCGAGACTCGGGATTCGAACCCACTTCACTCTGTTTCGGCCTTTTTTTTTTTTTTTTAACGTTGGGAAATGCATTTACGCACGACGTGTGGGACTCACCGGCGTAATACAGCCAGTACTACCCACTAAAACCCAACAAAACCTTCCCCCGTCTTAATGGGGCGTCGCAGGATCGCTTACGCATTCAACTACGACGCCCGACGGCAGGTCTGCCGAAGCAGACCACCACAACCATGGGGTTGCTCCACAGTCCACTCTGCTATCAGAGAAGTACCAGGAGCAACCCGCATGGTACATCGCCCCCCGAAGAGGGCCACCTCCCACCGCCCACCGAAGTGGGCAACCTCCCTGTGCGTTTCTTAGCTTCACGCCCGGTTGGATTGCCGGGCACTACTGAGCCCCCCCACCACGACAAGGTGAACGCACGTTGGGGGGGACTCTGTTTCGGCCTAAGATATATATAGACAGATTTTGTAAGATAAATATTGAGTCTGCGAATACTGAATCTGCTATATCCGCCATAATAAACATCGGAAGTCGAACATTCATCTATTCCAGAAGCACCACAAATAACTCCCATTTTTCTTACGTAAGAGTAAATAAATATTCAATATAAAATTTTGACCTTATTATAATACTGTAAGTTTGTATGGATTTCTATGAATATAATTATGATATTGTGAAATAAGTAAATACTGTCATATTTAATGAAGCCATCATTTTATGTACACAAGTGTTAGCTTACTAAGATTTAATTGCAAACCACTCGGGTTTTTATGCTACTAGAACATCTGCGTTGGTGGTGTAATGGTCAGCATAGTTGCCTTCCAAGCAGTTGATCCGGGTTCGATTCCCGGCCAACGCAGTTCTTTTGATATTTTTACACCTAACATGGAATGATACCATTAATATTACATACAAGAAAACGTTACTAGTAAAACAGCTCAGAAGAATTTTTAGAAAAATATTATTTGATACTAATTAATACTTATATTTATTGCTTTTCTTAAATGCTTGTATTATTAGTATTGCTTTTCTTAAGTGCTTGGGTAAAAACATTTCACGTTAGAGTGCCAATCCCCGACTATCTACTTGACACATCAAGCATAATGTCAAATTAACAAACTGGCACATTGAATAACTGAATGTTACGCTAGGTTATAGGAAATCTACGTTTATTTGACATATATATGTTATTTTTAAAATTTTTCGAGATCTAACTACACTTTTTTTGCTGCATGAATGCACCTGCATCCATACAAGTGGTAAGTATAACACATAAAGTCAGTGCTACCTACTAAAACCCAACGGAACTTTCCCGATTTTAATAGAGCATCGTTGGATCACTTATGTACTCTCCGAAGGCTGATCTATAAGGTCAGATCTCCCGAACGCCAAAACCTGCTGCCCTCCAGCCATGCACCTGACCTTGAAACCTTGGGATTAAAGGTAATTTTTTTAAGATGTTGTCTTCCTCTCTCTACTGTTAGAACCGCGCTCTAACTACACTTCACTAATCTTTAAGATTTTTAAACTACAAACGTGACAAACATGCATCCAGTTTTTGCTTAAGATAAGCAGGAACAGTTGGCAATATTCTGGCTGGCATTTTAAAGGCAAAGATGGAGGGTAATAAAGGGGTAGGGGACAGGGGATGATTTTACCTCCATCACTTTCACCTATCAATTTAAATACAATAATATGGATCTTGCCACGTTAGCTGGATATTATATAAAGGGTAACACGTCCCCGGCAGTGGTAGCCCAGTGGTAACGCGCTCGCTTGAGAAACCGAGTGAAGCGGGTTCAAATCCCGGGTCTCGCACCTCTGATATTTTCATGTGCGAATCATTACTAACATGATTACTACTTGCCTTACGGTGAAGGAAAACATCGTGAGGAAACCTGCATGTCTGAGAGAACTTAGCAAGTTTTCGAAAGACATGTGAAGTCCGCCAACCCGCACTTGGCCAGCGTGGTGGACTATGGCCTGATTCCCCTCGTACTGAAGGGAGGCCCATGCCCAGCAGTGGGACGATAAAAAGGGCTGAATACAATACATACAATACAACACGTCCCCGATCTAGCCAGCTCTTACATGCTAACACCTACAAAATTACTTTCATATACGTCAGTTCATATATGTACTTTGATAAAAAGTTGCCTACCACTAAGGGAAAGTTTCGTTGTCGAGTTTCTTGAAATAATCTTCTCAATCAGACCAATAGTTTTGGAGTTTACCTCCTACATCTAAAGTAACACTGTAGATCTTTATGAACAGAAGTAAACTTCTCATCTCATATATATATATATATATATAGATAGATAGTTGAATGGCAACACTGGCGTAAACAGCTGTTTTTACTCGTCTTACATTTATTTGTTAAAATATTAATTATTCCTAAGTATTTTGTGCCATATTCCTATTAAATCACTAAAATAAGTAGTGATAAGTGTTAGTTATTAATAATTAGTGATATTAGTGCGTAAAATAGTTTTTATTTATGAAATAAGTTAAGTGTCAGTTAAGCTGAAAAATCTGAAATTTAGTTGTTATTTTAAACAAAATAGTGTGTTTCCAATAGTTATTATATTAAATATTGCTTTATAATACTTTAATTTACTTGTACTAGTAATTGCAATTTATCAACATTAACCTCTCTTTTGTTTTGCCCCACGAATCCTTTTATTTGATTTATAATGACAACCCGTAGAGCATTTGCCCGCCAGGAGGAGTCTAAACTCCAATTGGCTTTACAGGAACTAAAAGTAAGTAAGGATTTGTGTGCTCAACTGCATAGTGAAAGAGAGGAAAATGAAAAAGAATTATTGACAGTATTAAAAAGTAATGACAAGTTAAAAGCTTCATTGACACGGTTACATATAGATTATAGTGATCTTTCAGAGGAGAGAGACAGATTAAAATCAATAGTAGTTAGTTTTGATGAGTGTGCGGTGGAGTATGAACAGGCACTGAAGCGGATCACCACACTGGAGTGCGAGCTGCGAGATGCACAAAAATATATCTCTGAGCTGGAAGAGAGTGCCCATCAAGCAACAGCACTGCACACTCATAGCTTGTTCGAAGAGTTAGTTGAGAATGCTCCAGAGTTGGTTGATGTTACAATTGAAAACCCGGTAACTATAGATCTTACAAATGATACCTTACCAGCACAACGGTTAGACAATTGTAGCAACAATAAACTAAAAAAGTACATAAAAGTAAATAAATTAATAAAGAAAACAAAAAAGATATTAAGTAAAAACAAATGTATTTCCAAAATATATAAAAATAACAGTTCACTATTGTCAAAATTTAATGTTTGTAAATTAGAATTGGAAAATATAAGCCAGAGATATGAGTCTGACACACAATTATTAGAATTACACATAGCCCAGTTGCAAACTTCCTTAAGAAGTATTACTGCAAAGTATGAAAGTAGTGAGAAAATGTTAAATGAGTACCAACTGGAGATGGATGAACTACTAAAGTTATCTAAGTATAACTCTGAAAGATTTGACTCACTCACAAACAATTGTATATGTGAATGTAAACAACTGAGTTCTCCACCCCCGGTCAATACTCCCCCATTTCAGGGAATATTGTGTGACAGGACTGATCTCTCTACTGTTGATAGTTCCCTCCAACATGGAAACACATATATGTACAGTGATGAAATTGGAAGGAATATGGGCACCTATTTATACTCACAATTTGATACAAAAGTATCAAACAGCTGTTTACCAAATTGCTGTCTTTCTGAAATTATTTCACAAATTCATAAAGACAGCAAAAATTTCAATATACAAAGTAATTTAATAATTTTCATAGGAAATAGGGGTAATGTAAACAAAATAGAATTGTTAAAATGTTTAGAATATTTGAATAAGCTAAAAGTTAATAAAATTGTAATGTTTACTTTACCTTACTGTAACAAGTTGCCACAACATGAAAATAATCTTAGATATAAGTATAATATGACATTGTACAATTCATGTACTTACAATTCGAAATTCAATGTTATTGATTTTAACAAATCATATGCTAATAAATATTATTATAAGTGGACTGATAGTAGGTATTCCCTACCATCTTTTATAAAACAACAGATAGCTATGTCGCTATCTTATTATTTTAAAACTTTAGCTAAGAATTTGGCTATACAAGAAGCTCCTATTGAGCTATGCAGTAGTAATAGTAATATTTTGAATGTACCACAGAGTACTTTAAACGACAAAAAAAGACAATAGAGATCTCCTCTAGCCCAATATTAACAGATAATAATATTTATTTAAAAAACAAAAAAGTATGTAATAGTATTCAATATATCAATCTGGTGCATCAGAATATTCAATGTTTGAGAGGTAAAATATTAGAAGTAGAATTATTTTTAAATAGTTTTGATATTAATATATTCTGTGTTACTGAACATTGGTTGAAAGTTCATGAAATCATGTTTAATTTCAGTAACCACCAGGTTGGTAGTACGTTTACCAGGGCGAATTCCATACATGGTGGCTCTTTAATAATACTGAATAAATTGTTGAAATATAAGGAACGTAAAGACATAGTGAGCCTCTCTGTTGAGCGTACAATTGAATTAGCATCAGTAGAGTTAGAGCAATTCATTGTAGTATGTGTATACAGACCTCCCTCATCTAACTATGATACTTTTGAAACAGTTATGGATGTAATGTTAAATAAATTGTCAAATTCTAATAAGAAAAAGATTGTGTGTGGAGACTTTAACATAAATATTTTAGAACAAAGTACTTTGAGTATGAAATTACTTAACCTTTTTACATCACACAATCTTTCCAAAATGTTTATGGAGCCAACAAGAATAACTGCCACTAGTGCCACTTGTATAGACAACATTTTTACCAACTTTACACCAATTTCTAAAAACATTATTAGTAAGATAGATTCTGATCATTGTGGTCAATTAATAAAGTTTAATATCGATAAAAATGTTGTCACAAAAAGGAAAATCTCTTTTGTGCCAGTAACTACAAACCGACTCATTCAATTGCAAAATGACCTAAGTTGTTATTTACCATTATTAAGTAATAATTTAAGTGCGAATGAGATGTATAACCAATTCTTTAAATCTTTTAGTAAACTTTACAATTCGGTATTCACTACCAAATCGGTTACAGTTTCTGATACATTGGTATTTAGTGAGTGGGCAACTGCAGAGTTATATAAAAAAAGAGAAAAATTATACGAAATGTACGCAGAAAGGCAGCATAACACTAGTGAACGGTTTAGAGACAAAGTTAAATCATTTTCCAAATTATTTAAAAAGGATTGCGAAATGGCAAAGTCTCATTATCTGAGTAACAAGATAGAAAATAGTGGTAATAAAATTAAAGCTACATGGAAAATAATTAACGAGGAAACTGGAAAGAGTAAAACTCTAAACAATAGCTTTAAATTAAATATAGATAATAAATACATTAGTTCTGACTCTGAGGTAGCCGCCGCGTTTGAAACCTTTTTTACCGACATACCAGTTTCCACTACTAGGTCTCTGAACTCTTCACCTGCCACTGCGATCAAATTATTGGAACAAAATGTGGAAGAATGCAATATTAGCTTTAAGTTCGAAAATATAAATGCACAACAAATTATAAATGTATTTAAATTACTGAATGTTAAAAAAACAAAAGATCTTTGGGGAATTTCTGTTAGCATCCTTAAACCACTTATTGATGTTGTTGCATCTGACTTAGCATTAATATTTAATAAGTGTGTAGAATCTGGTGTGTTTCCTGACTTAATGAAACTTAGTAAAATTATTCCTTTGTTTAAATCGGGTTGTACCTCTGATGCCACTAATTTTAGGCCTATTTCAATATTACCTACATTTAGTAAAATCTTTGAAAAAATAATGTTAACTCAAATTACGAAACATTTTTATAATAATGAACTATTACATGTAAAGCAATACGGTTTCACTCGCGGTCGTTCAACAGCCGATGCTGGAGTCGCGTTACTTCTAAATATATTTGAGGCCTGGGAGGAGTCACGTGATGCACTTGGCATTTTCTGTGATTTGTCCAAGGCATTTGATTGCGTTCATCATGAAACGTTGGTCAGAAAATTACACCACTACGGAATTAGAGATAAGGCTTTGGATTTACTTAGATCATATTTGAATGAAAGAATCCAGAGGGTAGACGTGAATGGAAAGCGTTCCCCTGGATCAGTTGTTGAAATGGGTGTACCACAAGGTTCAATTTTGGGTCCTTTTTTGTTCCTCATTTATATAAATGACCTACCATACCTCGTAAAGGATGACCACGGGATAGTTTTGTTTGCTGATGATACATCTTTAGTTTTTAAAGTTAACAGACGACAAGCAGTAATTGACGATGTGAACATTGCTTTATCCAAAGTGGTACAATGGTTTAATGTCAACAACCTTTTACTAAACGAGAAAAAAACAAAATGTGTAAAATTCACTTTACCAAATGTTAAAAGTGTAAAAACCAATGTACGACTGAATAATGAGGAACTAGATCTAGCTGATACCACTGTATTTCTAGGCATTACATTAGATGCCAAACTCCAATGGGGCCCTCATATTTCTCAATTATCGAATAAGCTCAGTTCTGCAGCCTACGCGGTTAAGAAAATACGTCAATTAACAAATGTAACGACAGCTAAGTTAGTATACTTTAGCTATTTTCACAGCATTATGTCATATGGTATTTTACTATGGGGTAATTTTTGTGCTGCAGAAAAGGGCTGTTCGAGCTATATATAATTTAGGCCCAAGAGAATCTTTGCGGAATAAGTTTAAAGAAATTAAAATAATGACTGTACACTGCCAATACATCTATCAAAATCTAATATATGTACATAAAAATATTGATAAATTCAAGAAATATAGTGACCTGCATAATGTAAACACTAGAAACAAAAATAAGCTAGTTCAGCCCACCACTAGGCTCCATAAAATTGGTAATTCCTTTATTGGTAATAGTATTCGCTTTTACAATAAACTACCAGATGATACTTTAAAACTGTCAATAAATAAATTTAAAATTTACATTAAAAGACAATTAATAAATAAATCCTATTATAATGTAAAGGATTATTTAAGTGATAAAAAAGCTTGGGAATGAATTGCTCTTTATACTGAAGTAAGGATGTTTGTGAAACAATGATCACAATAAAAAATGTTACTTGGCTGAGTTTCTTGTGGGTTCTTCTCAGACCAGGGCACGTTACGAACCCTCGTAGCTTTAGTTTAAGTCTTCTAATTGACATACACAAGTGATCATTGAATTGATACAATGTGTAAAAAGAAGTAAATAAATAAAATAAATAATATATATATATATATATATATATATATATATGTATGTATTAGGTCGAAATTTATAGGGTAATTTTCAATTAATAATAATTCAATTATTATAACATTAAATGATCCTTAAATAACACGATGTAGTACTGTAGAATAACTTATTAAGTATAATATAGGTATTTGTTATGTCTATTTCATCTGCGTTGGTGGTGTAATGGTCAGCATAGTTGCCTTCCAAGCAGTTGATCCGGGTTCGATTCCCGGCCAACGCAGCTTTTTTTGCATTTTTTACAACGACTTTATTGAGGACTAAAAATTTATATATTTTAATTTTTTTAAATTAATCTTGTTGTTAGAAATATATATAATAATATTATGTTTAATTTAGCCTAGAGTCTCAGTATGAGAGGCGAGTGTTTACTTTCTTTAGACCAATTATTACAAGAATTCGCAGCTATGCATTATTCTTAAAAAGTTTTTTTTTTGTATAAGGTTAACTTAGTGTTAAGGCAAAAACGGATCGGTATATCTGTATGTCACAGTCATTTTATTGGGAGATTTAGATATATTAAATATCATATAAAATCGCTAGTATAATATTCATTATAAGCTCAAAATTATTTAACGTTAAATTCACTAGATAAATATGAAAGTAGCCCTATTAGATACAATCAGTAAGTTTAAATCCATGATCATGGTTTCATTGGGATCCAAACCGATCATTTAAGTCAATCAACGTCGCTAGCTGCACGTACTCGATGGGTGACCGCTCAGTGGCATTAAAAAGCCCATTCTTTTCACTTGGGGAAGCTTTTCAATTAGGTAAATCGTAGTGTGTAAGTAAAAGACGTTAAATGTATTAAGTTTTTTACAAGTTTTAGACAAATTTACAAATTCTGAAACCTGACATTATTATTATAACTAAATAAACTTTATATTCTAAAGATTTCTTTGCAATTTCCTTTCGATCGTTTTGAAATAGTCAATGCCATTTTAAAATAAAATTAGATTAACGTTTTTTTAAATCATTGTATATTTAAATATTGTGTTATAAAGATAAAATATTAACTACTTTATAATGACCTTTGAGACGTCTAAGACTTTAGTGTCTTCCGTGAACATTGCTGTAAAACATTCGAAATGTCGGTAACCAAAAATCAAAATAAATTCGGGAAAAGAAACAGAAAAGATAGTTTTAATTTAAAATATGAAAAATCCGCGTAAATCTAAGAAACTATAAGTCAATACTAGGTTTTTTAAACATTCCTTTAAAATGACGAACATTTCGTAATTTTGGTTTACTTTCTTAGACAATCTGTTTGTTCAATTTTGGACATAATTCTTAACTAATATTTTAAGAATTTTAAACATATTTTTGTATAATATTATAAGGAATTATAATACGTAAGATGTGACAAAATATATAAATATAAACCCAGTGAGAATAAAGGTAGGAACGAGGAAATTTGAATATTAGCGGGAATATTCTGTAGCTGGTAATCCGACAGCGGAGTGAGACCCGGCCCCGGTGGTTTGGACACTGGGCTTAACTCGATCGCCCACTTGAAATATTCTTGGATCGCGCAAATAAAATTTTATATGTATTGTAGAACAGGTAGAAGTATTTTTAGATAACGTCTTAGAGGGTTGGTAATAACTTTTTCTATTGATGATATTTTTATTTATAAAAATATAAAATCTATACAGATAAATAGAATTCAAGTGTCTGTTGGTAATGCCAAAATATATTTGAAATTATATACGGTACTTATTATAAGAAAAACACATTTTTTAAAATTTTTGTTTGTCTGTGTGTTTGTTCCGGATAATCTCTGAAACGGATAGACTGATTTTGACGGGACTTTCACTGGACGATAGCTGATGTTATAGGGAGTAACATAGGCTACTTTTATTTTTGAAAAAGAATTAGCGTTCCGCTCAAAAAAATTAAAACGTACCTAGAGACGAACCTAGCGAAGCGAGGGTGAGTCGCTAGTATCGATAATTATAAAATATTTATCGAGTACAAATTCTCTGAATTTATCTTCTCGCACTAAACGTATATTATGTGATCCATATATATTGACTTTGTTAACCGTTCATCTATAACTAGCGCCATCTTTCGGAAGCTAGCATATTTAAATGTACTACAATTATTAATGCGACTATTAAAAAGTGAAATTTCTCCTTGAACAGATTTAAACAGGTTGTGAAATTTGAATGAAATTGCGTATAATGAGACGTGAACTAACAGGCCAGCCTACAATATGGAGTAAAACATGACCTTCCCGCAACCATGTTTACTGTTAATAAGTCATTCTATTAGTTCATTCTTTTTACTTACATTTTCGAGTAGAGACTACATGTTCGAGTATAATGTGTGGGCTAATACTCGTAATACTCATCTATACATATTATAAAATTTTAACTGAGCCGAATCTGTACATTAAATATTTTTTTGGAAAATCTTATTGAAATAGTCATTATTATCGACGCATATATAGTTTTTACAATTTTTACCTGTCTGTCTGTATGTCTGTCTAGGTGCTAATCACGAGAGAACCACTTGATGGATTTTGATAGTATGATGATAGCTGGATATCCGAGTCAACATATAGGATAGAATAAGATAGGATAGAAATATCTCATCTCTGAGAAATCTAAACGTTACTAAATCTATACTAAATGTCAAAGAACAGCTTTGTCAATGTTTATTGAAGGGTAAAATTACATTCGCTTTATGACGCATAATAAGATTATCGCGATGTTCTCAAAATAACTGTTAATACATACTCGTAGTATCAATCGGAATTAGGTTTGAATTTATCTATATGATAATAATATATATAATATAATCTGAGAATATAATAATATAATCTGATAATAATAATGATAATAATATAATCTGAGAAGCTTAAACTAATAGTTTCAGTCATGTAGTAGGTGTGTTCATTTACTTTTTTTTTAATAAATTGTGCGCTTTTGCTTGTCTTAAGCGAGTTTCTAGCGATACTTATATACCAGGGAGTTACTATGTCACTCTCCAGCCTGCTATTTCTGTACAAAAATGATGTCAATATATTGTTGCGTGGAAGAAAGAAAAACCAACAAATTTACAAACATGCATTCAGGTTTATTATGTTATATCTTTACTAATATGTAAAGTTAAAGAGTTTGATTTTTTGTTTGTTTGAATGCGCTTATCTCTTGAACTAAGATTTGAGAATCCTTCATTTTTTTGCAGCGGAGCAATTATTAGTTAGAAGAGTTAGTATTGCATAAAATATCTATAACTAATCATATTATTAAAATTTTTTAGGGCTATTGATAAAGCTTTTTGAAAAGCTCAGAAAATTGTATGGTAGTTCAGAAAGTATACTAGAAGCTCGCAGTTTCGTAGCTTTCAGTGGTCAAACGGACTTATATTGGATGGAATTAAAAAACAGTTGCCAGGAAATATCTACTGATTTTTTCACTTTTTCTTCAATATTTACATGCGGAAATATTCGAAGTTAGAATTTTAGTCGTGTGATTGATGAATTTACTGACGACATGTTTTAGTTCTTATATATTTTTTTTGTGCAAAAGCGAGTTATTTAATGAACCTAAAATTTTATTACATAATAATATGTTAATTTATATATTTATATTACTACTGTCACAATTGTTCGAAGACATGACATAATAAATCACAAAAGTTTCATTGCAATCAAAACAAATTGACGAATACGATGTTACACACACATAGACACGAATACAAAGATACTTTCATTTTACATATACATTATATTTCTTTTTTAAATCAGCATAGCAAAGTAAATAAATACTTAAACGTGAACATAAGCTCATGTAAAAATATTTTAAATTAAAAAGATCTTATCTATATTTATAAAAAAATCATGGCTAATAATAAAGTTATTCAATCACATGAAAGTACCGAGGTGGAATAAGAGATTTTATCATCTTTAATGAGAATTTCGTACGATTTCGAAAAAAAAAGTTCTTTGAAATATAATATAACTATCGACTTACCTTCACTCCGCTCGGGTTCGTGCCTAGTTACGTTTTAATAATTAGTATAGATTTCTCAGAGATGAGATACTTTCCCGCACAGACAACTTTCCAGACAGACAAACAGGCGAAAATTCTAAAAACTATAGATTCGGCCTCTGTATCGATAATAATGTCTATTTCAATAAAATTTTCCACAAAACATTTAATGTACAGATTCGACTCAGTTACAATTTTATTACATGTATAGATAGAATATTTATATATAAGAATTTATCAGTTGAAAATTAAAATATAAGCCAGGCGCGTAAAGCTGCGAACAACAACAAGTCATTAATATTTTCATCGAACTTTACCTCAGCATTGTCGAGGATCAAAGCGTCTATTTATATTAAACGTCCAATTTCCAACCATAATCCAAACCACAGACTAAATCTGAGTAATGCTTGTAGTTTTAGATTTGTTTAACTTTTAATGAGCCCTCCATTAGTCCTTGTAATAAAATTTTGTCGTTATATAATGTTACTTTGCAGTGATAATAATAACAGTATGTCAAATATAATCAAGATTTCTAGTCCAGGATATAACCGAACTGGTGTTTGTCGCTTCGAAAACGTCAAATGAGCAATTTTCGGGCCATTTCAAATGCATAAAACTTTATGCGGCACCGCAAACCCTCGAACCAAATTATCAAGATCTCTAGTGAAGTTAGAAAATTCCTTGAAAATCCTTTGATGCGATATGAATGTGGAGGGGTGGAAGCTCAACTAGAAATGGCCACGGAAGGGGCGTAACTGTTAATTTTCAAGAATAGCCAAAACCTTTCCTTTTAACGAGCGGGGGTCATTAAGAAATGTTTAACATCCGGCGGAAATGCTTTGACCCGCGAGTAGCTTAGAAAGTTATCGCAATTAGTTCTGGCGCCAGGTTGAACTTACCCAATTTCATTACAGAAAATCATAGATGGGTGTACTTGAGGAATTATCCCTGGGACTGAGTAAGTTAAATTAGGATAGGGAGCTGGTTCTGTCTTGCTAACTTTGTTATGACGTAGTAGCCTGTATAGTCTAGGAGCTGACATTAGAAAAAGGCAACTTAATAGTAACTGATAAAATAACTATTAATAATGTTTTTAAATTTGAATAGTAATTCTATATATTCTACGGGAACTGTAATTTTTCCGGGATAAAAAGTAATGTATATGCTATTCCAGATTTTAATGTGCCAAATTTTATCCAGATTAAAATATAAGTATGGAAGAATGGATTCAATTAGACTTTTACATACATAATTTATTTTTTTATATTTTCATATTTTTAAAATTTAAATTAATTGTAAGTAAACCCGTAAGGAGCCTACCAAATTGTAACTATAAGATATCATGTGGATATGGGATATAAGTTTTTTTAATGATGAGTAATATCAAATTATTAGTTTACAGGCTTGTATCTATCTGTCAATTTCCTTGCAAAATTTATACAGGAAACGTCGTGTCTTTCCCCGATTCCTTTATATTTGTTTGCATTTATGTACGTTACTGAAACGCCCATGGCCAATACAAACATTTACTTTCCGGGCTATCAAAGGCACCATTTCTGACAATATTCTCTTATTTCAAACTAGCAACTCACCCTCGCTCCGCTCGGGTTCGTCTCTAGTTACGTTTTAAAGTTTAGCATAGATTTCTCAGAGATGAGATATTTACTCACAGTAAAAAGTACACTATATGTTGACCTAGATAACATACAATCATCATACCAAATTTCATCAAAATCTGTTAAAAAAATCGGTCAAGTGCGAGTCGAATTTGTATACAAAGGGTTCCATACATCATACATGTACTTTTTTTAATAAGACATTTACTCTATGTTTGTAGTTTATAAAATTCGAAGATCAATTACGATCGTTAAAAAAATGTTTTTTGTATATTATTTTTTACTTTATTTGTTGTTATAGCGGGAATAGAAATACATACTTTGTGAAAATTTCAACTCTCTACTCTTTATCATATTTTTTTTCTTGCTTACTTACACTTTGTTCACAAAACTAAACACCCAAAACACTTGCAATAAAAAATATCCATAAAGTATAATTGTATTATGCCTCATGCGGATATTCAACCCATAACATTCGTCATAAAACGGCAATCCCATAGAAACAAATGAACGCTTCATTTTATTTCTACGCAGTATAATATTATACTATAGATTATTTACAAGACATAAGCCTTTAGGCAAAGCTTTGCTTAATCATATATAATAACTGTTCCTTTACCCGATCCCTTTCAATATGTATTAACAGAGTATTGCTTATTTTTTCTAACGAAAACAGAAGTGGGTTATGATTTTAGCACATAATTTGTATTAGTTATAACGTGGAATATGTATATATACGTGTTGTTTTATATTTTTATTATAACACGTGGAACCCCAGTGGTAACACGCTCGCTTGGAAAACCGAGTGAACCGGGTTCACATCCCGGGTCTCACATTTCTGATATTTTCATATGCAACATGATTACATGTCTTATGGTGAAGGAAAACATCGTGAGAAAACCTGCATATATGAGAACCTAGCAAGTTTTTGAAATATATGTGAAGCCCGCCCTAACTTAGCCAGCGTGGTGGACTATGGCCTGATCCCCCTCGGGAGGCCCGTGCCCAGCAGTAGGATGTTAAAAAATCCGCTGAATGCATGCACGTGTTGTTCTCATCCACGACGAAACGAAGAAGGTATATGCGTTAAGAGTGAGACGTTGTTTATGCACACGAATGTTCCCATTTATCTCCAAAACGGTTTTATGCATTTAGATACGGTTTCATGCAAAGTTTGTTATTCATCGGCGATGGTCCTTAGATAGGTGTTGTAGTATTAACTCGCCAGGGGGCGCAGCAATTATCATTTTTTGCTCGTTAAAACGAGTTGTTTGTTAGGTAAATTTTAGGTAGGTTATCATTCTTTTGAGAAATAAATTAAACTTAATTATATTCATATTCTGGTTTTTATCGGATGCGTTTCTACAGATGATTGCTTAACTTAAGGAACGCATAGAGGACAAGCATACGAAAAAAAAATATTTTAAGCGTTTGTAGACTCAATAAAGTTAAAAAAAAACGAAAAAATAATATTTCAGGAATTTATAAAGGTTAAACAAAGAAACATTTATTTTTATATATATAAATTTCATTAATTTAGCAGTTAATAATCTTGTAATACGTCTTATTAATTAATACGTATTATAAATGCAATAGTGTATGTTAATTTGTCTTCAATTCAATTCAATTCTCTAATTAATGATTTCAAAGCGTGCCAGTTGAGCACAGATTACTTCGCCAATATACATTAGATTGTCTCTTTCAAACGCAGAAAGCATTGACATTATAATTAGAGTAGAGATAGCAAAAATTTCTGTGAAATATTTTTGGCATATTTAATTAGATAATTAGGCTTAAAAAGCAAAACAAAAACGTTTAATAGCTATATTTATTAATTATTATTGATATGTTATAAAATCCTTTCTTTGGATTTTATTTTTGTTATGGCATAACTAAGTAAAAGATGTGTTTTGTTGAGTTATCTAATTTTAAATTCGTGAAACACAAGGAAGAGAAAAAAATTATCTTCCATGGTTAAATACATAATTAACTAGCGGCTCACCCTCGCTTCGTTCAGGTTCGTCCCCAGGTATGTTTTAAATACATATAAATATTTATTAGCAAGCGTTAACCATATACATTTTTTTCGTGTAATTTTTCTGATGTTTTAACAGTTATTCTGCTTCATGATATAGATGAGATAAATCCAACGAATCAAAGATGATAGAAATCGGTCCAGCTATTCTTGAGTTATGACTGGTGTAACTAACCGGACTTTGTTTTACATAATACTAGTAGGACCCGCGCTTCGCTCGTGCTAAAACTACAAAAAATCTTTAAAAAGGTAGTTTCATACAAAATTTCTTCTCCTATTTCACCCTCTTATAGAATGAATTTCGAAAAATGCTAAAACACGTACTTATTTAATTTTATTGAAGAGCATTATTAATACCAAGTTTCAAGTAATTCTGATCATAAATACTTTTTTGGATTGTATTATAAGGTGTTTTGCTGTGGAAATTAGATAATCTCCCGCGGTAAAAAGTAGCCTATGTCACTCTACAGCCCTCCGACTATCTCCACACAAAAATCACGCCAATCCGTCACTCCGTTTGGACGTGAGAAAGACAAACAAACACACTTTCACATTTATAATATTAGTATGGATGTAGATAGATGTAAGATGGTAACAATGAAAATAGTAACAGCATTGATCATTATTTTTACTTTTCATTTAACTAATGTAATACTTTGTAGCTATGTTTTTTATACCTTTATTTTTTGCTAATTTTATATTTTGCGAAATAACTATAAATGAGGTAAATATGTGTATTTATATATTATATATTAACCTTCTTGAAAACCAAACCTTTACATCAAATCTCAGCATGCGATCAGAATATTCAT